TTTTTTTTTTTTGTCGCGTCGTAGTGGAGCAAACGATAGAAATGTTGAATACCAGTTGTGCATACTGCGTCAGAATTACGTTAAGAATTTGTTATAAATTAGAGTAATGAAAAATGTACTTCTAATTGCAATTCCGTCACTCAATGTTACATCGAATAAGAGCCACAAATGAAGTGTATATTAGCTCGTAAATACGTTTTTGGGTGTATATGTATCTCTTATAATTTAGTTTGAAATCTCTGTGACGAGGTCGCCTTTTCGACGCTTGCAGTAGTCCGGATTTGTTGTTAATTTGGTGAATTTATATTGTGAAGATAAATTTTTGCGAGACAAGTTGTAAAATTAATGAAAATTATTATACAGTGGTATGGTGTCTATTAGGTTATGAGTCTCCTGGAATCGCAAATCTTTGTCAAATATTTGCCATTTACTTAAGAGCGAAAGCTCCTCTCGGAAAAAGCTCTTTGATAGCATTCAAAATAGCTGTGAAAGGTTTTTATGTCTTTTTCTTGTTTTTCTGTTTTTTGTTTGTTTGTTTGTGTTTGTTTTTGTCTATACTGTAACAGCCAAAAACGACGAACGTATGGATGTTGTCGTGGTTTTAGAACTTGATTTGTGTTACGAGTATCGTTGTAGAGCAGGGTTGTTTCCAGACAGAACTCAGGATCGCCGTTAACAGCAACAAACTGATTTATTTCCGTAAGGTAACTTCGCGAATTTACAGYACTAAGCTTCTTCAAATTTGAATCAATCTCTTTTACAGCAGAACCTCTCGCTCTAATATACATGAGGCTTAAAGTTCTAGAAACTTCTATTACAAGCTAAATTAAGTAGTTTGGCACAGTTTCTAATCTGAGTAATTACATAAGGATTAGAATGTTCTGGAATGTTCTTACACAAATTGGTCACGGCTGAATGACTTCCGATTCTAGATTGTTCTAGAACTAGACGCAGATAATTTTCCGTAACAATATGCAATTATTTTTATGTGCGGTTTAGTCTTCTGTGGTATCCATATTTCGCTGCAGTTTACGTTCTTTAAACAGTTACAATGTGCCCCGTACATGACCCTACATAACTGACTGAAATCGTGCTAATAGTTAATGAAAGATACTGTCAAGTTAAGTACATTTAAGTACTGTACTGTAAAATGACTCTTACAAAGTTGCCAGAAAATTTCATGGTTGTTAGTTACCAAATCTCGAAAGAGGCGATCTCGCGTCATTCAACTGAGAATGAACGCTGTTGCCGTGTTGTTGTCGCTTCCGGTAGCCTGTGCAGAATGAATTGTTTTGCTTGGTGAAGGGAGGGGAAAACGCGAATTTGAAAAAAAGGCGCACGACAAAAAATCTGAAAGTTTGGGTTAGCTTTTTTTCCACAGAGGGCCTTTTAATTCCCTCTGGTAGAGGGACCTCAGAGGAGCTGAGAATAATGATGTGCCTAATTAATATTTCAGGAGTCTCCATATCACCAGCTGGTTACACCGCTGAACTTGATTATCACACTTGTTTCAAGGTATAGTACATATCATCCTTATTCTTTTATTTTATTATTTGTTTCTTTCAGAAAGCATTATGGGAAAAAAAAAAAAAATAATAATAATAATAATAATAAAAACTAGAAAACAGTGTCTGCGCTTTCTGTTTGATCTTCGTAGTCTGCAGTTGACCGAAAGATGATAATTATACCTCCCAACTCAAACACGTTTAACGTGTCACGTGTCATGGGTCAAAACGTACTAACTCCCTTTGAAAACAGCAACATGAACTTTCGACTCGCACGTGATCAGGTCGTGCACCTTGAAATCAACAGCAAATTTGTTGTTGTGCTAGCTGTTAGTTTTTCCTATTGTTGATTTAGGAGGTATAACAAAATACTAAATAACTAGCCCCACCGGAAACAGTGAGTTTTGTTTCCCTTGTGGCCAGTCATTAAGTGCTTATTATTCTCCAAAGAATGTCGGAGCTTTTGAAAAATCGTCCCGTGATTTTATTCCCCTCGGAATACTGGTATACGTTATACAACCTGATACTTCAACTTCAACTTCACTTTGTTTGCACTTACATTTTGAAATTACAATATTAGCATAAGAGAGAAAAAAAGACATACTGATACTGATTCTACAAACAGTGTGAGTTGAACAACATACTCGAAGGTCAAAAGGTTTTCATTAACAAATATCAAAAAGTCCTGTTAACCAATCGGAATATTTCATGAACACTCGCGTGAAATCACAATGTGGCCATATTGCTGTGAGAGCCTGTGAACAGGCTACGGCTTGAGGGCTAAAAAGGATCTGGCTGAGGGTAAGTTGACAAGGGCAGAATGGGGTGGGGGAGAGCCTGTTCACAGGCTATACCGCCGTAAAGATACATCAGGTCGCTTGGCGACCTCTCTAATGAAAACCGCATGCCATGCTCGTGTTCCCTGTCAGAGAGTCAGAGACTGCACGAAGCTGTTCTTGGGACTCCTCAGGGCTTTAAGCATTGCGCTTTATTCAGTTCTACGTTTATCACTTTTCACAGGTATTTTGGGCAGAGTGACTTGGCAGATCCCGGATGAAGGCGCATTGCTCCTTATACAAGTTACAAAGGCATTGCAGAGTGGTTGGTTTGCTTATTTTTGGCAGTGTCCCACCGGTTG